AATAAATGGTTTTTAGTAGGTCTGCTGCTTGTTTAAACTCAACGGTTTGTACAATATCTGCTATTGGTCTAGATTCGACCAATCCTGTCGTGACACGAGTCGGTGATGACATTTTACCGAATTATACGAGTTTTTTTTAGTGTGTTTGTACGAATACTGTCACAATTTTTTCGCTGTGATATAGGAATTTGAACTATAGAAACCTGTGTTATAGGGGGTCGACTGTACTAAGTTCTCTGTTAATACCATTATTATTATTATTATATTCAATATCTTTTAGCCAACCTTCCAGAGTGCCTTTTTTATAATATCAGTCATTTCACTATTCTTATTATATTCTGAAATAGTTCTATTTATAATCTATATATATAAAATTACTTGTCCTGACTGACTGACTAATTCATCAATGCCCATAGCAAACCGCTGAAGCTAGAGGTGAAATTTGGTACACAGGATATGTCATGAAAACACACTAAGAAGGGATTTTTGAAATTCCCCCGCAGGGGGGGAGGGAGACGATTAAGACTTAACCCGAAGAATGGCTTCTACTGTACTATTTTAGATGAGCTTTTTTGTTTTCAACTACATTTAGTCTTCATTGAGTACTTAGGTGTATTAAATTGATAACATTTCAGACATTGTTATAAATATTTTTATGTATTTTGATTTTTTAACCAAATGTTTGAACTGTTTTAAATTTGAATTTGTTATTGCATATTGGTTCGATTATAGAACGATTGTAAACATTCCAGAAAATTGATCAAATTGAAAACAGTTTGTTTGATTCTCAGCAATTCTCATCATTCTCAGTGGTAGGTGTTATATAATAATTACTATGGTTGTTGAAATCCAGAATATAAATGGGGTTTGCTTGCAAAATCCACACAGGCAAAGTCATGTGTAACAGCTAGTTTTTTTGTATAAAATTAACAAAAATGTTTCTTTTTATGAACATATGAATGAAAATACATCATATTACAAGTTATTTTATTTTTTTATATTTGTAAAGTGTTAGCATGTCTTGACAACAACACATTTAAAAAAAATAATTTATTGTTAATTTCATCTTCAATTTCAAATTTTATATTATCGTCTAATTCATTAACCATCATTAATAAATTTCTACANCTTATACTGGTGTTTTTGGATATTGACACAAAGATGAGATCTGAATCAGAAAAAACAAAATTTCTTTATTATATCACCTGTAGTAATTTATCCTGTACACATGTTACACGTGTTTCGGGCTAACATGCCCCTCATCAGCAGTATTACTACGACATTCTAAAATATAACAAACGAATAAATAAGATACTAAAATTAAGAATACAAAAATTACCCAACAATAAAATTAAAAAAAAAAAAAAATTACAGTAAATTCGCATCCGAATACAATATACAACGAAATTATATTTTGAAGGAATTTAAATACAAAATTACATAATATCATTTTTCTGTATTAAATAAAAACCTGTATATTCTTAGTAATTTAATCTTTACTTGTTTTTATTTTTATTTAATACAGGAAAATGATACTGTATTATGTAATTTTGTATTTAAATTCCTTCAAATTATAATTTCATTGTACATTGTATTCGGATGCGAATTTACTGTAAGTTTTTTAAAAATTTTATTATCGGGTAATTTTTGTATTCTTAATTTTGGTATCTTATTTATTTGTTTGTTATATTTTAGAATGTCATAGTAATACTGCTGATGAGAGGAATGTTAGCCCAAAACACATGTAACATGTGTACAGGATAAATTACTACAGGTGATATAATAAATAAATTTTGTTTTTTCTGATTCAGATCTCATCTTTGTGTCAATATCCAAAAACACCAGTATAATGTCCTAATAATAAGTTGTGTCCAAATAGACAATTAATGATAAATTAGAATTAAGGACTGTAAGACAACTATAATAAAAGTTTATGAGTTTGTGATTACAAGGCACTTGTTGATTATATTTCAACCAATAAATTCCTTTCCTTGATAATGGTAGTAGTTTGCTCACAAAATTCTACAAGAGATTGATGAGATATATCTCATCTCCTTCAGAACATTCCTGCATGCTCTTAGATTCAAATTTAAAGAACTGATAAGTCAATGTCAAAAAAATTAAACAAGTTGAATACATACAAATGAGTACTTATTATCCATAAAAAGAGGAGAAAAACTCCAACACTTGTCTAGAAAAGCTTACACTTCAAAATATTTTTCTCTCTGAAGTTGTTAATAAGTGACAAAGTGAACAAAGTGTACAAAGTGACATCTGCCTCTTCAACTTTATGCTGAACCCAGACTATTACATTATTACCATCAAAGTTATTTCATTCCCCGATATTAAAATGACAAATAAAACATATTGAGAATCAGTCCATAAACTGAATAGCAATATCATCTATAAAAAGAATAAATCATCTATAAAAAGAATACTGATCTACCAAGTGACTGTAATTAAAGTACCTCTATTCTGTCTAGAGGGATATTTAGCAGTCTAAATGAAACCAAATCTGGTTTAGTGACATTTCAGGACAAACAAATGACATTTCCGTTAAAATGAAAAACAATTAGTACCAAAACTCACTTTTGGTGCTTTGGATTTCATAGTGATTTTTAAAAGTATGGTTTATTGAGGACATGTTTCTGTCAATATTGAAAGACAGTAGCACACTATGTGAAAACACCACAGAGGATCAAGAATAATGGGCAATTCAACAGATTGTTCCTTCAGATTTTAAATATTCAAAATGGGAACCACATTGAGCAATACCTCCCACATTGCTAAGGTCTCTACAACATAAATGTCTAGTATAAATAAAATGTTTCTTAATCTTACAAAATTGTATTAAAAAATAATACATGAAAATTCAAATTTTCTTTTCTTTCTGACTTACTGAGGATAAGCAGCTTCCAAACCGCAACTCCAAGAAAATGGAAACCCATGATGGATAATTGTCAGAATTTGAGCTGTGTATGAAAGTAATTAAAGTGTTTCTCTCTGCAAAGTTGGTTTGTCTTTTACCTTTTTAACTTTAATTTCATTTCATTAATGTAATGTTTTAGAATTTGGAAGTTGCTTATCCTTCGTAAGTCGGAAAGGAAAGAAAATTTGAATTTTCGTGTATTTTCTACAATACAATTATGTAAGATTGGAAAATTAATCCGACTCCATCATTTTAAGTAATTTAAATTTTTAAAAATGCTTGCAGTGTCAAACGTGCTATCATAGTGGTGAGTTTCAGTATTAATTTTTTCTTTACAGAAATGTCTTCCTTATGTCCTGAAATGTCATCATACCATAGGTTTGTTGCACTTTACCAATTTTTAACATTGTTGCTCTAAGTCTTGAAATTGTCTTGGATATATTTTAAATCTTTTGACAGGATCTCAAGCTTGATCTTTTTCAGTCTTATTATGGCTCTCTATCTTATTAAATCAGATAACTATGTATAAAACAGTATTAATACGATTGCAAATATCAAATATGGTAGCTGTTTTATATATTTCCGTAAATGTCTGTCTCTTTAATCCGAATAAAATAATTTCAGTAGACTATTATATAGCCATCAGGTTAGGTACTTCTTTTATTATATTTCCATATGCATTTCGAGCTTATTTAATTTCTAAGCCCCCCTTCAGTGCAATTCTACAAAAAACCATTTAAATACAAATATCAATTTAACAATTTTGACGCATGTAGATTATATTTAATGACACAAAAAAATTTTTTTTATCATACCAAACAAGGGGACCATTAAATTTTAAGTTACACTCATATGATACTTCTGGTCTTGTTTTCACAAGCTCTGGCCATATATCGGATAACATTAAAAAGATTTTCTTAAATATGACAATAAAATTCACAAAGGTACACCTTTTTAAAAAATATTAACAAAGTGACCATAATTATAGTAATATTATACCCGTTACACACAGAAATAAGCACCAGAGAATAAGCATAAAAAATTTGGTGCAGATCAAACAATGGGTTTAGCAGTTAATAATAAAGGGGAATAAAATGAGGGGAGAGATGGGGTATCCAGATTTCATTATAGTATATTTTTCTCAGGGTCCAAGAATATTTATAAAGAAGTTCATGCAGATTGTGCAAACAGTTTAGAAGTTATTAAGGAGGAACGAAATCAGGGAAAGGGTGGGGTGTGTACAGGTTTAATGGTAGTCTATATTTCCCTCAGAATATCGAGAATAAGCAAGAAAAATTTGGAGAAGATTGACCAAAGACTTAAGAACAGAGAGAGACAAACATTTTGTTTTATATATATAAACTGATGGAAAACTATTGAGTCCAACAGCAATTCTGACAGAACATAATGGTTCCATGGAACTGTCTAGTCCAACAGACTAGAAGTTCCAAGAAACAATTCTGCATTCGAATGAGTTGCAACAGTTGAACTGGATTTCCCACCTATATTCCAGAGTTTTAACATTATATAAATGTAAATTAATAGAATTTAAATAAGTTCAATATTGTGTTATTTTAAAAATTAAAATTTAAATGATGTACTTGATAATGTTTGTATGTAGCAGACATTTTGCAAAACTTAACTTTTTTGGCTGAAGAAAAATTTTTTTTTTTAAATAAAATGAAAAATATCAATAAAAATCAATATCTTGGGAATAAATGAACTGAACAAGATGAAATTTAATATGCAGATCAGAAAAAAAATAACAGGACACGATGATACTCATATTTTGTCTGGATGATGTGTACATTTTTAGTTTTTTAATAAAATGTGAATGAAGATAGACATAAAGTGTTTTCATTCTAGTATAGTAAGGTTTACTTTGGTAAGCCATTCATTCGCTTGCTTACTTGATGGCTTACTTCTACCAAGCCTTATGATAAAAAGAGCAAAATTCAAACATTTCACATGTCAAATCACTTAATTTGTTATATAAATCTTAATGTTGAATTATTAGGCATCTATTACAACTTTAACACCAATCCTTCAAACCATAATATTAATTTCTTACCTTTGACATTGTTGACAAAATAACTGTTCCATTTTATCATCTATGAGATATTCTTTTTCATGCAGTTTCCAAAATATTTCTTGAGCAATCCTAAATAAAATTTTGAATAAAAAGATGAAAGATCATAAGAAATATTAAAGTTAAATATAAAATATAATATAAATATAAGATAAGATATTTATTAAATGTTTCTAATAACCTAGCCAGTTATTTACATTTTAGGGCTTATCACACCAGTGAATATGAACAAAATTTCTTAAATTTATTTTATATTTAAATTTACAAAAAGGTAAAGAAATTTTACAATAATTAAATCTAATATATAAACAATACACCCAAAATGCATTTTGGATTCAAAAAAAGTCCCTCTTTGGTTGGAGTTTCAATAAAGATAAGATAAAAATTCATCAAAGTTATGTTGGAAGTTTTAAATAACCATAAAGATAACACAAGTAAAGAAACTGATGTTAAATATAAAAGTGCTCTCACAAGTGCTGTACAATAAATTCCAACTTTTTCATATTTTCTATAAGCAAGACAGCCATGGACAGTTCTACACACAATTAACAATATACCACATTTAGCATTAAACTATGAAGGTAATGGACATAATACTCACAATTGAGGCCTCTGAAGGAGTGACTCAAACATTACACACAAAAAAAAAAAAAAAAAAAAAAAAAAAAAAAAAAAAAAAAAAAAAAAAAAAAAAAAAAAAAAAAAAAAAAAAAAAAAAAAAAAAAAAAAAAAAAAAAAAAAAAAAAAAAAAAAAAAAAAAAAAAAAAAAAAAAAAAAAAAAAAAAAAAAAAAAAAAAAAAAAAAAAAAAAAAAAAAAAAAAAAAAAAAAAAAAAAAAAAAAAAAAAAAAAAAAAAAAAAAAAAAAAAAAAAAAAAAAAAAAAAAAAAAAAAAAAAAAAAAAAAAAAAAAAAAAAAAAAAAAAAAAAAAAAAAAAAAAAAAAAAAAAAAAAAAAAAAAAAAAAAAAAAAAAAAAAAAAAAAAAAAAAAAAAAAAAAAAAAAAAAAAAAAAAAAAAAAAAAAAAAAAAAAAAAAAAAAAAAAAAAAAAAAAAAAAAAAAAAAAAAAAAAAAAAAAAAAAAAAAAAAAAAAAAAAAAAAAAAAAAAAAAAAAAAAAAAAAAAAAAAAAAAAAAAAAAAAAAAAAAAAAAAAAAAAAAAAAAAAAAAAAAAAAAAAAAAAAAAAAAAAAAAAAAAAAAAAAAAAAAAAAAAAAAAAAAAAAAAAAAAAAAAAAAAAAAAAAAAAAAAAAAAAAAAAAAAAAAAAAAAAAAAAAAAAAAAAAAAAAAAAAAAAAAAAAAAAAAAAAAAAAAAAAAAAAAAAAAAAAAAAAAAAAAAAAAAAAAAAAAAAAAAAAAAAAAAAAAAAAAAAAAAAAAAAAAAAAAAAAAAAAAAAAAAAAAAAAAAAAAAAAAAAAAAAAAAAAAAAAAAAAAAAAAAAAAAAAAAAAAAAAAAAAAAAAAAAAAAAAAAAAAAAAAAAAAAAAAAAAAAAAAAAAAAAAAAAAAAAAAAAAAAAAAAAAAAAAAAAAAAAAAAAAAAAAAAAAAAAAAAAAAAAAAAAAAAAAAAAAAAAAAAAAAAAAAAAAAAAAAAAAAAAAAAAAAAAAAAAAAAAAAAAAAAAAAAAAAAAAAAAAAAAAAAAAAAAAAAAAAAAAAAAAAAAAAAAAAAAAAAAAAAAAAAAAAAAAAAAAAAAAAAAAAAAAAAAAAAAAAAAAAAAAAAAAAAAAAAAAAAAAAAAAAAAAAAAAAAAAAAAAAAAAAAAAAAAAAAAAAAAAAAAAAAAAAAAAAAAAAAAAAAAAAAAAAAAAAAAAAAAAAAAAAAAAAAAAAAAAAAAAAAAAAAAAAAAAAAAAAAAAAAAAAAAAAAAAAAAAAAAAAAAAAAAAAAAAAAAAAAAAAAAAAAAAAAAAAAAAAAAAAAAAAAAAAAAAAAAAAAAAAAAAAAAAAAAAAAAAAAAAAAAAAAAAAAAAAANCTGCGCAGAAGTGGTTTGAAAGATTTAGAAATAATGATTTTAGTGTGGAGGATAAGGCTCGTACTGGAAGACCTGTTGACTTTGATAATGATGCTCTCTCTGAACTAGTTAAAGCAGAACCATCTTTAACAGTTGATGAAATTGCGGAACGTTTAAATTCATCCATGGAACTGTTCATAGACATCTACAACAAATCGGAAAAGTTTTGAAGCTAGGAAAATGGATACCACATGAACTGTCAATAGCTAACTGACAACAACGTCAACTGCTCAACTCAAAAGCTTCAACTGGGAAATTTTACCTCATCCACCATATTTGCCAGTTATTGCTCCCAGTGATTATCATTTTTTTTGGAGTTTGCAGGATTTTTTAAAAGGGAAAACTTTTGAGGATGAGAACAATGTAAAAAAGGTTATTTCTGAATATTTTGGTTCAAAACGGAAATCATTTTACAAAGACGAGATTAAAAAGCTACCATCAAGATGGCAAGAAATTGTACAAAATAATGGTGAATACATTATAGATTGAAATAAAATTTAATTAAAATTTTTTGTTGCTTTTTTTGTAGATAAAAATACGCATGAACTTATGGACTGACCTGATAAATATAATTTTTATGGACATTAAATAATAAATGGTTTTTAGTAGGTCTGCTGCTTGTTTAAACTCAACGGTTTGTACAATATCTGCTATTGGTCTAGATTCGACCAATCCTGTCGTGACACGAGTCGGTGATGACATTTTACCGAATTATACGAGTTTTTTTTAGTGTGTTTGTACGAATACTGTCACAATTTTTTCGCTGTGATATAGGAATTTGAACTATAGAAACCTGTGTTATAGGGGGTCGACTGTACTAAGTTCTCTGTTAATACCATTATTATTATTATTATATTCAATATCTTTTAGCCAACCTTCCAGAGTGCCTTTTTTATAATATCAGTCATTTCACTATTCTTATTATATTCTGAAATAGTTCTATTTATAATCTATATATATAAAATTACTTGTCCTGACTGACTGACTAATTCATCAATGCCCATAGCAAACCGCTGAAGCTAGAGGTGAAATTTGGTACACAGGATATGTCATGAAAACACACTAAGAAGGGATTTTTGAAATTCCCCCGCAGGGGGGGAGGGAGACGATTAAGACTTAACCCGAAGAATGGCTTCTACTGTACTATTTTAGATGAGCTTTTTTGTTTTCAACTACATTTAGTCTTCATTGAGTACTTAGGTGTATTAAATTGATAACATTTCAGACATTGTTATAAATATTTTTATGTATTTTGATTTTTTAACCAAATGTTTGAACTGTTTTAAATTTGAATTTGTTATTGCATATTGGTTCGATTATAGAACGATTGTAAACATTCCAGAAAATTGATCAAATTGAAAACAGTTTGTTTGATTCTCAGCAATTCTCATCATTCTCAGTGGTAGGTGTTATATAATAATTACTATGGTTGTTGAAATCCAGAATATAAATGGGGTTTGCTTGCAAAATCCACACAGGCAAAGTCATGTGTAACAGCTAGTTTTTTTGTATAAAATTAACAAAAATGTTTCTTTTTATGAACATATGAATGAAAATACATCATATTACAAGTTATTTTATTTTTTTATATTTGTAAAGTGTTAGCATGTCTTGACAACAACACATTTAAAAAAAATAATTTATTGTTAATTTCATCTTCAATTTCAAATTTTATATTATCGTCTAATTCATTAACCATCATTAATAAATTTCTACAATTAATTTCTTGAATATTATATATAATGAAACATTCATTCACATATCTATTATAAAATTTAATCCCTCTAATATTACTTATAAATGTGTCAATATCAATCATATCCAAGTAAGCCAATTTTGGACCTATCATTGACCCCACAGGTATACAGATTTTTTGAGTATAATATTTTTCATTAAATTGAAAATAATTATTAGACAAAACAAAAATTATCAGTTCAATAATCTTTATTTAATAATCTTTAATAATATTTTATATTTCTGTTCAATTTTAACATCTTTTAAACCATTTAAAAATTCTTCTGTACTTTTTATACTGTTTTTTGAATTGTTTAAAATATTTTATTTTGACTTAATAAGTATTTCTAGATTATATAAGCAATAATACTTTATATCAATGAGTGGTCTGTATTTTACTGGTTCTTTATGTGTTTTAACTAATATTAATTTTTGTAAATTTAAATATAAAATAAATTTAAGAAATTCTTATTCACTGCTGTGATAAGCTCTAAAATATAAATAACTGGTTAGGTTATTAGAAACATTTAATGAAATTAAGGGCAAAAAGCAAAATACAGTAAGGCCAAGAATCCACTATTGTAAAAACGTGCGTAAAACCCCTTGCCGTAAAAGCTTTTAATCACGTGACCATGATATTTTACGGCTGAGCAGGTCGTACGAACAGTGTAAAAGCAAGTTGAGCAGTGTTCAATTTTCAACGTGAATATGGCCATAAAATGATACCATCCTCCAATCAGAAGTTAGTGAAATCTAAGTCATTGTGACATGATGCGAAAATGATGGAAAAAAGCTTTTGTGTACATTCCCTTGTGGCTACTCTAGAATAGATCTGAAAAGATTTATCGAAAACATCTGAAAGTATTCATGTATCTACGACAAGAGGTATCCCAGTTATAATAATGGATGCCTAAAACACGTGATATGGACGGCCAAAGGAAAATCCTTCAATTTTGAGGAGTATATAATAATAAAAGCTAAGCTTATAAGTGCTATATATTATCTTAATTAATAATACGATAATAAAAGTTAATATATGAAAATAAAGATATTATTTTTACTACATTTGTAATTATAGTACAGAAAAAACTCTTAGAATATAATCATTGTCTTTATATTGATATATCATGTATACAACCGTCTTCCATTTCCACCAATTCACGTGCAAAGAAGTATTTACTTTCAACACTTGGGACAGCACCGTTGCCATAAAAACTTTGCTAGCTGGACCTCCACCACAATCCAGATGCAAACGCAAATAGGTCATGTGATTAAAAATTTTATGGCAAAGGTTTACACTAGTGAAGTCTTGGCCTAAGATACTTAATTATTAAAAGTA